CACAGCACAAATAACTGCTCTGCAAGAAGACTTAGAGAACAAAACCTTGTTTTCTTGCAGGCAAATGCAGGCCTAGCTCAGAAGTGTCCCAACCAGAATTACACGGCAGAAATCTGACATCCCAGTTCAAGTGAATTGAGGTTCAGAGAAATGAAATTGAAGTTCATTTTCTCCACATTATTGTTAATTCTGTCTGTCTGGAAACGAAACCCTGCAAGGTTAGTTTCTACAGGAGGAGAGATTGGAAAGGAAAGGTGATACCAAGATGCTCGGCAGAGAGAGCTCCACGAAGTGTTTTCAAATTATTAAGCAGAAGAATCCAAAAAATCAAGAGATGAGGAGCCAGGCAGAGGAAGCAAGACACTGAGGGCATGTCTGCTCCATCCTGGATCTGCATTTCTAGTCTGCCCCTAATTTGACTGTTCTTCTCTGTGGAGATATTTGATTTCCTCCAAGGTTTTAGCAACTCTGCTAGATGAAGCATTCAAAGGACACGCTAGAATTAAACATGTGTATGAATTACCCCATGAGCAGGAATAGGTTTGACACACGATGTGCTCAATCAGAAGCACTCATCACTTAGGCTGGTCCCACTCCACTGGGGAGCATGACTATGTGTGAAGGAGCTGGTGCTTTTCTACAGCGATTAAGGGGTAAGCAGGGACGAGGACACAGCAGCAGGAAAACTGCTCCCATGGAGAGGGCTCCTCATGGCTGGGCAGACTACCAACCAGCAGGGAATCCACCAGATTAAGGCTAAGTAGATCCAACAAGGCAGATCTGCCAGGAAAGCCACCGTGCCCCTTCTGAATCCAACATGCATCAGGCTGGTGGAGTTATCTCTGCAGAGACCTGTGCCTTCCTGACGGGTGAGCGAGCTGATGCACCTGGGTGCAAAGGACAGAAAGGAACTGGAAGTATTGCAAGGGAGGGGAGAAGGTAAAAGAGGCTGGAAGCTATGAAATTGGCTCAAAATGCACTGTAGGTGCTGTTTCTCTTTTCCCAGCAGCCAGCGATGAGACGCTCAGACCAGTCATCCACTACGCATCAACTACCACCAGAGCTGCTGACACTGACGGGAACTGTGACAGCCGTGCCTTCTGGCATCACCCAGGCGCCCCGTGCCATCTGAGCACTGGAACCAGAATGCTCCTCATCTGATTCAGCCACTGAGTCACAGACATCGTGCGGGTCTTCGGAGTGGGAGACGTAAACGTCTGCTTTGCATCTCCCCTGCCCCGGCACAGGCGCCGTCCCCACGCGACACGCTCTGCCTAAGCCACCTCTCCTCTCCTCCTCTGGGCCAACGAGCTTAGCCTGCCCCGGGAGCTGTGTGCTGGGTTTGTATTCACGCGTTCCTCCAGCAGGAAGTGGTCATCTAACCACGCACGGACAAGACTTTGCCTTGCAGATACTCCTCAGAAAATATAACGCTGACCTGTTCTGACTTTAAGGGCAGGAAAAACACCATGAGATTACCCAGTCTCGTTAAAGAAAGCACGCAACCCATCATCTCACAAACCCAAGCACTAGAAACCCCTGCTAAGCAGTATGCAGTGACAGATCTGCTTATTGCTGCGTAACCAACAACCGTGTGTTCAAGCGTTATAAACATACAAAGCCAGCCTTTGTCTCGGGGAGCTTCAGCTTGCAGCACGTTACTCCTCACAGCTCACCACCCATCCACCACGCTTCCGCTTGCACGTTTAGCTTCGACATGAAAAAGAGCCAACCAACGGAATTCCAGCGATGACTGGAAATAGCCCAGCACCGCTTTGCTCTGTGAGACAGCTCCGGCCCATGAAAGAATCTGTGCCCTGAACTGCAGATGTGATTGAACAGTAATTAAGCAATGAAACTGCCTACCAGAAAACCTGCTCTGTTTGGCTGTAACCACAACATAGACAGAAGCAATCTTAGCCCTGGCAGATTTTTTTTCCTTTTTTTCCCTTTATAAACCAGACCTTTCAACACCCACACACTTTACAAACAAATCCCATTCCTGTTGTGACACAAAGATCTCCATCTTGCCTAAGCCTTAAGTTTCAAAAGCTTTGCTGAAGCTGGCCAGACAGCTTCACCTTTAACAGAAAGAAGAAAACGAAATAAAAAACAAAGACACGTCAAGTTCTAACAGCAAAACCCCTGGCTCTGTGGGAGCACAGCAGTGCGGGGCAAACATACCCGCATTAGCTCCCAGCTGAACCAGAGATCCCGCACGCCCTGTAGCTTTTCTGCTCAGCAAAGCAGGGTAAGTCTGGCGGGGACGGAGCCAGCACCAACTCTCTGTCGTCTTGCCCCCACGCAGGCTCGTCCCCAGCACCCTCTCTTCCCACTGTGGCAAGCAAGGCGTTACAGGGACACAGGCAGTGAGGTGGGAGGCAGTGCGGGAGCTGGTGGGCGTTTGAGCTGTGAGTGGATTAACTGCTTATTTATCCTCGCTCTAATTAGAGTCAACACCTCATTTCACGACTGCAGATAACACAGAACCACGTTCTCAGGTACATTGAGCTGAAAATAGGCAGAACACAGGCTGTAGAGATGAATTCTCAAACCTCTGATTTAGGGCAACTGTTTCTGTCCTTAAAGTCTCTGCAAACCCAGAAGAGAGCAATGCACCGACGCTAGGTTGCAGTGGGCTTCACCCCACCCTTTGCCCTAACCACCCTGCATTTTCTGAGCGGTTCCTGCTCAATCACTCCGCACGGCACAACACGAGAGCAAGGCGAGGAAAGGCACGTCTTCCCGCAAGCGCCCAGCCGCAGGTTTGCACCCACATTGGCAACGAGTGTGTGTCCCCAGCCGCACTGGCTGCTGAAGCCTGCTGTCCACAACCCCAGCGGGGGCCGCCTCGCCACCAGCGGACGCGCAC